TCCCTTATAATTTTTATCAACTATATATTTGCATTCAGGTATCACAGATCAAATTTATTCGTTCATTGTGTGTTAATTTATGTTTTTTGATTGAGTGAAGCCTTCCAATTGATATTTTATAGCGTGTCTTTCTATGTTGTGATGTTATTCTATTGTTTCAGAAAAGGGAGAAGGTTTGGTACCATTAAAACGTTTAATCCCGCTGCAAATGTTTGCACCTGTCCTAAGTCAGGAATCTGATGTACAGTAGTTGTCGTCTGTTTATGTAGTTCATACGTGTTTCTCGTTTCTCGTAATTTTTAAATAGATTAGACCGTTGGTTTTTCCGTTTGAATGGTTTTACACTAGTAATTTTTTGGGGCCCTTTATAGCTTGCTGTTCGGTGTGAACCAATGCTCCGTGTTGAAGGCCGTACCTTGACCTATAATGGTTTACTTTTATAAATTGTTACTTGGAAGGAGAGTTGTCTCATTGGCACTCATACAACATCTTCCTATATCTATATATATTATGTAATTTTTAATAAAGAATTAGACTTAATTGTTTTGAACAGATTTTTATAGGGATAGCTTGTATGACATCCTAGATCTATATAAGTGAATCAGAAGTGACTTAGCAGTCCGATATTTTCAACGTATGACATACATTCTTGCGAAAAATTTTCATGTTCATTCTATCTTTTATGAGTTCATAAACTACCCAAATTGTGAAAAGTCATTTCATGCAGTTTGCATTTTATGGCAAGCATCTTTGTAAAAATAGTGATTGCTAAATTCTTCAGCCCTCGAAGGAAGCCGTTATTGCAAATACAGATCATTCTTTCTCCGACAGATTTGGTGATCTACGGTTTCTGTTTTTAAGCAGGTGTATAGATATCCTGACAACAGAGAGTTATGGAAAGCAAGGGCCTGTAAACATGGAGAAACAAATGTTGACTTGTCTGAGCACTGATAACGTTCAGTTTTTCTACTAACTAATATCTTTTATTGGTTTTAAATATGATTTAACAGATAGTGTTGGAAAAGATTCGTTCATAGATATTAAAATTAATTTTAATCTATGCCTGTTGGAAATGACAAAAAAGCAATATCAGAAAATGAACACGATTAAAACAGTTATACTTTTACATTTTTCTTAATTGAAAAGGAATTATATTCCTGAAATGGCATTATTTTCCTAAAATTGCTTGATTGTTTATAATTCAAACTGGGTTATTAAAGAATTTATTAGATTATATACAGATTTAAAAGCATAAAAACAGAATGTGGTCTGCAAGTCTCCCAAAAGCTGGAATTTCGTGACAATTTGATAAGTTTCTGTCAAGATTAAACAAACTTTAAAAATTTCCTGGACTATTAACTTGTACAAAACATGCACATCAATACTTATCATTTATGTGTTTACCTATTAATATTTACATAGCCGTTAATGACTGATTTAAAACAAATCTAATAAAACTCATTTACATCTCCCCGTTTTCTGCAGGCTTGCTTTTCATTTATGTTTTATCAAACGTAATTACGTTTACCTTATCGCAGATCCCCCAGCGAAGTTGTGCATTTAATTATGTAAAATGCATTTTAAAGCCCCAACAGACATACTTTGCAAGAAATGTTAATGGAACACCGTTTTGTACGTATCGTTTTATAACGGCATTGGAAAATAAATAGTGTAGACAAGTAAAAAAAGTGTTAAGTACTCATATCAAATGAATTGATCCAGACAATTTACAGAAGTTTGAACACACAAATAAAGTGTGTGCTTTAATGATTTAGCTATACCTAAAAAAAATATAGCACCATCGACAACCGGATCTAATATTTTAATACATTGTACATGAAACTATATTCAGTGCGATTTAAACGCTTGATACACGGTATATGGATAATTGACTGTCATTTTTTAACTGATTTTTATAGTTCGTTCTTATGTTTTACCGTAACACTACTGTCCCAGGTTAGGGGAGGGTTGGGATCCCGCTAACATGTTTAACCCCGCCACATTCTGTGTGTATGTACCTGACCTGTCCCAAGTCAGGAGCCTGTAATTCAGTGGTTGTCGTTTGTTGATGTGTTACATATTTGTTTTTCGTTCATTTTTTTGTACATAAATTAGGCCGTTAATTTTCTCGTTTGAATTGTTATACATTTGTCATTCCGGGGCCTTTTATAGCTGACTGTGCGGTATGGGCTTTGCTCATTGTTGAAGGCCGTACGGTGACCTATATTTGTTAATTTCCTTGTCATTTGGTCTCTTGTGAAGAGTTGTCTCATTGTCAATCATACCACATCTTCTTTTTTATATGTCATTAAAGACAGTATGTTGTTCTCGATGTTCTGGTTTCTGTTTTTTAAGAGTCGTTGCGTCATTGTCTCAGTAGTGTATTACTCCAATATTCCTCTATTCATTTAAGACGGGGGGAAATAGTTAAAAAAAATTCACTTAAAAAATTCAAGTGTCAGAATAAAGCTGATGTACTCTCAATATAGATGTTTATATAGTAAACTGTCTCATCAAAATTATCCTACATTACCCTTTTTGGGTTAATATGTTGATATTACAAACACTAAAATGGTTACTAAACGGAACAATTACTAGGTCGTCAGGTTAATTCATAACTGTCGCCGTTTGGTCAGCATAGGTGGGCTTGGGAGGTTTCATGTTGGATTTCATGTATACATTTTTGTATTTATATTATTTATCTTAACTTGTTTATACTTGTTATTGTGCCGGAAACTTTTTTAATTTGGAAAGAAGTTGTTTTGTGTTCAAAACAAAATTAACGACGAGTAAGCCACCGAAATGACTTTTTTTTTTGGGGGGGGGGGGGGAGGGGGGGAGATATATTTGTTCACAAATATCAATGAAGTCGAGTTGCAGTTATACCACTACTCATTCAGATATTGTAAAGTTACAGAATGTTACAAAGTAAGATCATAAGTCAATTTAATAGATCAAATTAAGTTGTATGGTTTATGATCATGAGGTGCAGCTGTCTACACATGATTGTCTAAGCACAAAGACGAGAAAAAAACTTTATCCTACAAACAAAAAATATCCTTCAAAATGGTTCGTTTGAAGTGCCATTATGAGAAAATATCGTATTAATTAAAATGTACAAAGATGTGGAATGTATACATTAAATGCAAGATTTATGAAATATGACATGACATTCAAAATCATGTTTTAATTAGACAAGAACATTACTACAAAGTTACAAGTGATGCGCACGTACCTGGTAATTATTTCTTGTATGTTACATCTCACTGTCTCGCTTAAAATGTCATACTTATTAGAAAGTATGAATACAAAGAAGAATTAAATTAATTATTGTAACAAATTCTGTCGTCTTCAATACTACCTTTCGTAAAGTAGAAATTAATAAATATAAACGACACTGACCAGCGTTATTTGTAAAGCAACACATTTCATTTAAGTTGCATAAACGTTTATAGAAGAATTCAGACACAAATAATATAAAAATAATTGCTAACATGATAAATGAAGATGAACACTGATTTATTCTTGGACATAGTTACTGGTACCATTTTATATAAAACTATTTATTACAATAATTTTGCTTTCAGCAAATAGACCGATGAGTGGCGCTTTGACTTTCCCGTTCGTTTAGTATTTTAATTGTATCTAGTTAAAGTTGAGAACTCAAAAATAAAGGGCATTTCCCTTACATTTCCAATCAAACAGTTGGTGCAATACTTGCATGGTTTTTCAATAATGTCACCAGGAGACCTTCCTTTTCTGATTCATATATAAGTTAAAGCTTTTGTTTTTGCCGGTAAATAGAAGCAGATTTGGTTACTCTGATGGTGAACAGAAATAGCTCGATATTGCCCACAAACCTGAACTATACACAAGACTGTCAGGTAACCTTGATGTTTGTCCTATATTTCTACCAAAATGTTATCAGGAGACCTTTTAACTCTGATCCTGATACAAAATAGGGGTGTTTTTCTTGACACATAGGGAACGAGGGTTGATCTTGTTATATTGTATACATATCACTAATTTTTCAAGTCGGTAAGCCGAACACTCTTTTACTTTTTAATAAATGTGTACTTCCCATGTGTACAAATAACAACGACCATTTGTTTTAAAAAAATTATCCAACAAACTTATATGCACAAACAATAAGTAAGCCTTGGTGTGTGCGAACAACTGTTTCTTGACATATTTTGGTTTAATCGATAAAAGTATGCTTCTGTAACAAGTAAAACCCATTTCACAGCTCTTAAAATGTCTTAATTAAAAAATTGTAAGTATTCTGAAAGAAATATAATAATATTGACGAAAAAATCGCGTGAAAATAGCAATCAAAGCAATCCTAAATTACAGAACTCGTCGTCCCACCTCAACACTAGATCAATTTCAGTGTTAAACCAAATATAATTATATGGTTGAACAGTTCTTTTTTTCTGCACCATCATAAATAATACCGTAAATGAGATTTGAGAAGCACGATAAAATACCGAGATATTTACAACAAAAGTTAATAGAAGTTAAGGTGGATAAATTTACAGAACAAAAATATGTGTTTCAATTTAACACCTTTATATACAATAAAACAATAGCTCCTTGTCATTGTTTAGGGGTTCGTATTCCAAAAGGGTTATATACACTTTGAAAATCAAAATCGTCTAGAGTATATTGCATACAAGACTGATTAGACCTTGATATATATACTTGTCCAGAATGTGTTTTTTATAAGTATCATGATACTCTGTATCTTCCAGAATGTGTTTTTATAAGTATATACTCCGTATCTTCCAGAATGTGTTTTTGTAAGTCTATACTCTGTATATGTTCAGTGATAATTATATTTGTTCCTGTACCTTCTGTGTGAAATACCCCCGTACATAACTAATCTCTTACAAAATTAAAAACATAAGTGTGTATCTAACAACGTTTTTCTTTTCTTTCAAGATATGATAGCCTTCTTTTTATATACAGATTAATTTAATACATTTTTATTTACTTTACAGTGTGTAGAATCTGTATGGCATCATGTCCTCTAGATGTACAGACATACACAACAGATTGTTTTAGTATCTACAATACAAACTTAGATCATATTCAAATGACAGACAAGACATTTTTCTTAGGTGTTCACATAGAAGATTTAAGACTTTTATGCAGGTTAGTTAGCTACCATTGTTTAAGATTCGCCTCAATTTTCATAAAATAAATGTTATAAATAAATATGAAGTCATGTTTCATAATGGTTACTAGTTGTTTATGTTTTTATACGCCCGTTTACGGGACGTATTATGGTATACCGTGTCCGTCCGTCCGTCTGTCCGTCTTAAACATGTCGGACAATAACTCAAAAACGCTTTAATTAATTTGCATGAAACTTTGGTAAATTGTTTATATCTATTGACGTGAGCTCCCGTTCGATTTTTATAATTTTTTTATTTTACGTTTCCGAGTTATGGGGTTTTATTCATTAAAAAGGGGGAATTTTCCAGTTTTCGGACAATAACTCAAAAATGCTATGAACAGTTCCATGAAACTTTGGTGAATTATTTATATCTATTGATGTGAGCTCCCTTTCGATTTTTATTAATTTTAGATTTTACGTTTCCGAGTTATGGGGTTTTATTCATTAAAAAATGGGGATTCTTCAGTTTTCGGACAATAACTCAAGAATGCTTTGAACGGTTTTCATGAAACTTTGGTGAATAGTTTATGTCTATTGATGTGAGCTCCCTTTAGATTTTAGATTTTATGTTTCCGAGTTGTGGGGTTTTATTCATTAAAAAATGGGGATTTTCCAATTTTCGGACAATTACTCAAAAATGCTTTGGGCAGTTTTCATGAAACTTTGGTGACTGGTTTATATCTATTGAAAAAGCGACGAGCGTATCATGCGCTCATGGCGCAGCTGTTTATTTTATAATGTTGGTGTGTACAGGACCTGTAAAACAGAGTAATTGAGTAAATTAATGTCCACGTACTTGTGTCAGTAAATAAATGTCCACGTACTTGTGTTAGTAAATTAATTTCAACGTACTTGTGTTAGTAAATTAATGTCCCCGTACGTGTGTTAGTAAATTAATGTCCCCGTACGTGTGTTAGTAAATTAATGTCCCCGTACGTGTGTTAGTAAATTAATTTCAACGTACTTTTGTTAGTAAATCAAACTACTTCTCTTCCTAAATAATTTTATTGTCCATTATTGTGCAAGTATCACATCTTGGAAATAAAAGAAAATATGATAGATGTATATTTTGAAATTTCTAATTAAAAGGAAAAGGAAATAGTCAACATCATTAACAATGCTTAGAACTATTTACAATTAAGATATGTGCATATTTTTCTATATACAATAGTGTGCTGTTAAACTACGAGTCGAGAAATGGTACAAATATCTTCTGAAAGCTGTTACTTTTTTTATCGCAAATACTCTTCCTAAAAATTAAATGCTAATTTGATATCAATAAAGGTTGTTTCAACCTAAATTTCTTGTTGTTTGTTGTTGGTCGTATGTGGTGGTTATCGAATAATGTATGGAGATTCTAGAGACAGTTTCAATTTTTCTCTAGAGCTAAACACTTCAACGCTTGTTTTTCAATTTTGCTCTATAGCTAAACACTTCAACGTTTGTATAAGGTTTTGGATGTTCAAATATTTTGGCTTCGAGCATCACTGAAGATACATTAATTGTTTAAATGCGCATCTAGAGCAGTAAAATAGGTACCATTAAGGTTATACTTTATTCAATAACCATTAACGAATTAAGAAGAATAGTTATTTTGCAGTATTTCATGTAATTGGAGATGTCAATATCACCCTTTTTTTTTTAATTTATACACAAATTACATGAAATGCTTTCAAAATTATCATAAGACATTGGTAATGAGAAATGAGAAAGTTATGATACAGTCACAGGTCCAAAATGTATAGAACTATTTGCAGGCCTTCGTTGTAACCAGAACGGCAATCTTAATTTTTTATGAAGATTTAATAAATTTTTAAAAAAATTGAAGGCTTGCCAGTTATGTTTTAAATGCGTTCTTTCAAAAATCGACGGGGGATTATAGTTTATATCTGACTGTGGTGTATAAAGAGTATTAAATGCTGTAATTACACCCCTGTTGGCGACACAAAAATTATTTTCTTATTCATATAAATGTAATTGGCTTTAATCTGCTTCTGTTAAAATTTTTGGGCGGAAAATATATAAACTACTTTTGATGTAAAGCAATTGACATAAACACTGAAAACTTTTGTTACAGAGGAATTATGATCTTCTTCATAAAAACACATGAAATCATCTGAAGTTTCCTGTACAAATCACCAAAATAAATTACTTTGACAAATTACATTTGAATCGTTTTGATTTTATGTCAAACAAGCTTATTACGTTAGAATATTAAAGTATTGGGTTTCATATTTTTCTTCTTTATAGAATAGGGACAATTCTCGTTAGAATATGAGAAATGCTATTTAAAGTAATTTTGGTTGATATAAGCTATAAATCAATGTAGTTAAGATCTCGTGTAATTGCTGCAATTTATTTTTTGTTAAATTTCCTGTGATGATATATCTAATACAAGTTACACAAGATGCGTACTTTCTGAAAAAAAATCAGTTTGAATTCACATGCACTTCTTTTGATGGGATCATTTGAGTATCAAACAATTAATTTGAAATTGAGTATAAGTTTCAAATTTCAATTTCAGTTCATATCAAGAAGCGGTAAGATGCGTACGTAAACTTCATGACCAGTGTCCACCAGAAAAACATAATGACATACGTGTTGCCTTAGTCAGTCTGGAAAACACACAAACAGAACCTTCACAACTTTGTAAAGATGATAATATGTTTGATGGTAAGGTCGCACTATAAAAGATGTGTCATTGATGATCTGTTGGTTGATGAATGTCCAGTGTGAAATATTTTATGTATATTTACTTGTAGTACAAATAATATATCAATACATAGCTTACAAGTGATCGGTGGTGGGGGGATGGGGGTGATATTTTTTACAACTATATAACATTGGCGTATTAGATAGTTCCACGCGAAGACCAATCCAAAGAGCTTGCTATTTGAATGTGTTTGTGTCCCAAATCAGACAGTTATCTGTATTTAAACACATCCAAACATGCGTCTTTTTCCATGTAGCTTATGACGAGAATATGTATTGTACCCTAGTATTTAAAAGGATGCATTTTGATTAAATAAATTAATTATGATATTATAGGTTTCACATTTTTCTCCCCTCTATAGATCTAGATGAACATTAAGACGTCAAACCCCGTTTTTGTTATTATTGCAGATGATAACGAAGGACTTTTGTGGACAAATCACTAAGACAAGATAAAAAATAACACTTTCCATTTTTTTAAGATGGATATAGAATAGTTATAATGATATCATGACAGTAATCTTTTATCATACAAATATACTCACTTGTAAAACATTGTATCAAATGAGAAAACATTTCATAATCGTTTTATTGGAACAGAGGACAGGAGGGGCGACTTAAAGCCAAGTATTTACCCAAATCTAATGTATATTTGGTTGGTTTTCCAATAATGAGAAAAGTACATTTACCATTAATCAAATTTTAATCCTGACCAGGTATGCTATGCAAAAACGCAAATCTTGTTATGTTTAAATTTCTACAGAAAGCACAGGAAAGTTTATACGAATCTGAGAGGACAGAAACCGTGTTGTTTATATAACATCTTAAGGATCAATGGCTGAAACAGGAAGTACTTGACAGAAAGTAAAAAGGAATGGAAATAACAACATGCACTTTATTGTATCAGTTATATCAAGATAAAACAGATTCTACCTTGCCAGAAATAGCATCCCATTCAGGATTTGTCTTGACATCAATGTTTCTTGATTAAAATGGTTTTTTTTTCAATTCTATATTAACGACTAATGGCTTCGAAATTGAAACCGTTGCTTTCATATTTGCGGCTTAACAAAATCTTTCCGTTTTATTGATAAATGCTTGCGTTAAAGCTGGGAAATCTGACAATAGCTTCATTATAGGGGACCAGGATTAAAATATGAACCTAATGAAAAGAAAATTATATCGATAATTTCAAGACAACACTATAACTGTGTTGGTTTTTTTATAGTTTAGATGCGATTCCTGTATTCTCCGATAGCAACGAATGAATTCCTCTTACAAAATATAGGTTTTTACAATTTATTAGCTTTTGAAATTTTCTTCTAGTATGTTTCTACTTATAATATTATATATATAAATCTACAGAGAGAAACAGGGTTTTTCAGTTTTAGAACTGTGTAGAAGTAATAAAATTGGTACTATTTAAAAAATTTTCTCACCATTAATTCGAACCCTATCTTATTTTCAGTATATGCAAGAAGCCAAAGCTGTTTTACAACTAATCATGATTACTCAGAACGATGTTTTAAGATTTCTATGGGTATGAATGTCTCTTCCATAAATCAAGTTACCAACAAACCGTTAAACCAATTTTGCAGGTATTTATATTGACGTTTCATTTTGTGAATTATAATTTAATTTTGGATGTAACACGTCTTCTGATTGGCTGTAAGTTTTTTGTCTATCAGCTCATAGACATAATTTTGTCATGTGACCGTGACGTCATCAACGTTTTTTTTCATTATTTATTCATTAAAAATGGAATTTAGAATTAAATTATAAGGAATGACTGTAATGTTTTTTTCTGTCTATTCGAAATAACCTCAAAAATGTGGTGCACACTTTTAAATAACACGCTACACGGGTTATTCAGTGTGCACTACATTTTTGATGTTATTTCTTCATAGACAGAAAAAATATTACAGTCATTCCTTTAATAAAAATTATAAAAGTTAGATTACTTATATGATAGAAGCAATATAGTATTAACATAAATCCTAAATACTAAACCCAAAGACTAGCAATTCTATAAGAAATTGTAAACATTATTTTCGTATGTATTCTTAGTTTATCGCATAGAACAAACTTCCAAGAAATGAATTTAAAGTTCTAACTTTTCCTACAAGTCTTCTAGCATATTACAGTATATTTGCTGATAATCACAGAATTGTTTTTCTTCACTGAAGCTTGCTATTTAATGTGCAATTTAAAGTAATCTTCGTGATCATGCTGATTTCTATGTTGAATTTATGCATGAACTAAAACCACTCCTACTGAAATAAACATTCAATATAAATTACATAAGGTAATCCATAGATAAACTAATTATAAAATTTATCTTAATCAGCTGATTTTAATTACAAAATCATCTTGTTCTATACATATATATTGATACAAGCAGAGTAAAAACTGCAAAGTATCTATAAAAACAGCATGGAATGTAAATGTGTACCCGTAGAAACCTACAAAAGTGTCGGTGTATGGGAGTGTGATTTTGAATTACTGGAGATTCTTGCAGTAATAAAAATGGTTTATTTGCCATTTTTTCTGTTTTACAGGAAATAAAGGCAAAAAAATGTCCAGAGGTACAAAAAAATGGATTATTTTATAGATTCAGTGTTTTTTCAATAAGCAAACGTGTCTTTACAAAAAAAACGCCAAAATACACAACAACGCTAACTTCAAAATGTTCAGTTCCGTTATACAGATGTTTAACCGCTATATTTAATTCTCTTTTCAAATTATATTCTTTGAATGCTTATGTTCCCTAATTTTTTTGGCCTTGCATGATATCATAAATCCAAAAGTTGCACTTTGGCATGATTCTTTCAATAGGACAATGTGTCCATACCCTTTTTTGATTTTCTATATGATCACTCAGTTTTACTTTTAAGTGTACTTGTCAGTTTAAGTTTACACCTTTGGGTTTGTTGTTTTTATTAAGAATAAAATAAGTTTTTGAGAGTGCATCATCACAGCGAAACTTACCAACAAAAAGCAGCAACAAGCATTGACAAATCATTGAACTGAGGTCTTCGCATGATCTTCAGCAATGGATTTGTATCCGTATCTAATTCTGTAAAATCAAAATTTTTCTTTTAATTCATCAGCAAGACTCAATTTTACGGATATGTATGGTTCTGGGTAAATAAATTAATCCCGGTAAAAAAAACCATTAAGATAAAGATAATCCATAAAGCTTTGAGTGGATGACAATAATAAAAACATGGATTTATTTTTCAGCTTCCTGGTAAAATGTAATCACCAATACTAATTTATTTAAGGTACAAATTCTCCACCATTTTTACCCGACGAAATATTTACACCTGACCAGAAGCATTTACACCCCAATCAGAGTATACAAAGGGCAACTGTGTCGATACTTCTGTTCTTTCTTGGTAAATACTATTATTTTCCTGGACATAACAATTTAAACTTTGCCGTTTATAGGAGTTATCGATCTTGCTTCCATATGTATTACATAAAGGGCGTCATTTGCTTTTTTGTGTTATCTGAAGAGGAAACATTTATATGATTATTTTATTTTGTAGCGAACTAAAGAGTTTGAATACATGCATAAGTAACAACACTCAATTAAAATGTGGAAAAGAAGCTAAAAGTTTGGTTGATGTTTTAATCAGGGCAAGCATCAAAAGGAGTACCGAATGTGACAATTTAGTGCCTTTATCGGTAGGTATTGAATTTTCCGATTTTAAAAATTTTAACTTTATGAATATTTTATTTTAATGATAGTGATTGTGTGAACGTTGGCAGAGTATATTCAGCTGCAACTAAGTAGTCGATAATGATTGATGGCATAATATATAATCGGTTATACTCGGTTGTAAAATACTCTGAAAAAAAGAAGCTCGGTTGCATGGGGTTTAGCAAGTAAAAGCTGTCGATATCATGTTAGGAATATATTTGTTTCGTCATTAGATCAAAGTGCCCCCTTCCCCTTCCCAAAATAAATAAATCCCTAAATGTCTCTCACTGATTTTCAATTTTAAGTATGTTTATTATAACTTCCTTTATATTGCAATTAATTATGAAATATCTATTTTTTTCCTGATTTTAAATTTCTCTCAACTATAAACGGCACCACTATCAACACCCAAAAATCAAGATTTGAGCTAACCAAATCAACTACTTCACAACTGATGGAAAATTAAAACACAATTAATCATTGGTTTCCCCGAATAATTAACACCATTACTTACCATAGAGGAGTTTTCGCGTTGTACTAAGCGGTTGCAGCACTCCATTTCGGTAAAGAGTACTGATTCGGTTTTATATGAATGTGTGAAAAGAGGCAAACATTAAGACTTATTTATAGACAAAATGGATGCATTGGATTTATTAAATTGCTTATTGAATGATGGAAGTTATACTCCCAGAACGGATCAGACTGACTACTAAGCTTAAAGAGGAGACTTGATGTCGTGATATGTATAGAATAGATGTAGATACGAAGATTACATGCCATTTCTTGTTAGAGCAGTTCTGGAACGTCTGAGATATAATTATGTAATTTTCTGTAATTAAATCATATTCAAAGTCATTTATCTCTGTTTGAAATACAGCTTCTTGTCTATGTCTCTAGTTGACCACTTTAATTAAGTAGTACTAACCACAACGGAAAAGGGAAGTGAAAACGTCACGATATTTAAAAAGACGGTGAAGTCTCTATTGAAATGACTTAGTTCATGCAGATAAAAAGGAAAATGCAAATGTTCAACAATGCAAACATCATATTGTAGGACTGGACTTGAAGCGGGCGTTCTCCTCCTCCTTTCTAAAAATCGAAAAAATATGATTTTTGTCATAAAAATGTAAAAAAGGTCCCCTCTTTCCCCTCGGTAATTTGTATTACTGTGTATCGAACCCAACTCCCACAACCCTGTTTCCTCAAATCTGGTATCCTTACCGGGATTGTAGTATTTTTTAACATTGAAATACGAATGAAAAGAGATGTCGGGTAAATGCCAATGGCACAGCAATCCAACAACACAAACACTAGAAAAGGAACAATTAGAGGTCAGCAATACACAATATATTTTTCTTTATTTTCTACAATAGACAATACTTAAGTTTGGAAAGCCTCAGTTATATACTATACCATATATTACTAAATTGTTTTTTATTGGTAAATTATGAACATAAGATATAAAATGCTTTCGGGCTATATGCCCTACTGAATAAAATTAAGGCCTAAGTAAAAAACAAAACGTGGATCATAAACGATAGAGTGAGATTTACTTCATTAAGAAACAGACATATTAAGATAAATGTCTACATTGTGGCGACAGAAGAGTTGTAATACGTAAATTACTTATCTTTTTTACAAAAAAAATATGTTATTATATTTTATATCGTTGACATAAGGTATGTTTAGCTATTGTATAAGTAAAACATTTGTTCTGTAGGAAGTTTTCGGGGATTTTTAAAATAGGATACCTAAGTAGCTTATTTCAATACGTTTTCACTAGCCCCTTACGTACTTCGATTGGTGTAAAGGTATAAGAGCCCATGAATTTTTTCTGGAAACATTTTCAATCTTTTCAAAATCATGTATATGTATGAATGAACTGGATGATTTAATCAGGACAGTCTATATAGTTCTAAAATAATTAGGTATGAACCAAAACCTTGCCAAACAAGATTTTACCTTCGTATAAGACATATAGAAGCAAAATATATTTATTGGGAAGGCTATTGCTCATATCTACATGTGACAAGATCTCAAAATTATGTATAAGACCTATAATTTCGATTTTGAAGTTTTGCATTCAATGCCAGCCATTGAACGAAAATGAAAGACAAAATAAGAATGTAAAAAAAAATACTGAATTCTAAAAGACATCTAAAGGGTCCTATTTGGTGCATTTATAAAACTTTGTGATTTTCGATTTCAAAGGGGCAAACAAGTGTCCTTTTCATACCCCCTCCTTTTTAGCTTATATGTGTGACAATAGCTGCCCAAATTAGAAAGCACACCAAATATAACTTATGGCTGTTTTCAGTTGATACAGAAAAGTTAAAGTTAAACACTTTCTACCATTTTACTACCTTTCACATAGTCAGGAATATAACGACCACTCACAATTTGTGTACACTTTTAAATATATCAAAATTATTTCACAATGTTAAGTATACCTTTATTATTATATTTTTTTTATTTTTGGAGGTTAACTTTCGAATTTAGTGTATTTGTTAAGGGAGCTACCATTTGATTTTTATGGGGGGGGGGGGGGGGGGGGGGGGGGGGCTAGGATGAAAAATTTTGTCCTGCATTTTTTTTTAGTTGTAATTACTGTCCTGCCTTTTTATTTTTCACTCTATTCGGTCCTGCCTTTCTTACATAAATTGTTATCCTGCTTTTGTTTTTTGCCAAGTTGCTCATCCTGCCTTTTTTTTTACTCAAAACTCCTGTCCTGTCTTTTTTCAAATTTCATCCTGATTTTTGTTGTTGCCAGTTGAAAGAATAAATATTATGACAGAAACACCAGAACTTAGACAAGACTTCAAACAAAATGAATAATTGATTTTACAGTAAGGATAGCAAGATAAATTTATTAAAGTTGTAGGAGGCAGATGTGTTCAAAATGATATCACATAAAACATTCCCTTAACTTCGTTGCAAGTACTAGCTTTTATACGTATGATGTCAAAACACTTCAATATTTCTTTCTCAAACGATATAGAATTACTTGAGAAATATGTATCAGATTAATGAAGTTACCGATTAGATGTCAAAGTATTTTGCAGTATATCAGTTTTTAAATAACTATGATGTGCTTTCAAGCATTACATAAAATAAAAATTGACAGACCACACAAAACGCTTATTATTTAGCAAAGGAATTTTTTATAATCTTATTATGGAAAATCTCGGCGGGAAAATAATTATTTCGTGTTGAAGAAAAATGATTCGGTATGAAATGACTAATTCAAATTGAAAAAATTGTATATGATTTCCAAATACTGAAACTGACACTTATTATTCATTATTATGAAATTCGTATTGTTATTTTTATTATATTGATAAAAAAGAAGATTAGTTTGCTTTAAATAAATATGCAAACATTTTATTGCACCCCCGTGGGCAGTGTTTTGTATCTTTCGTATCCTTATTCTGAGGTTTGATGGCTATGTGTGCATATAAAGGGACATAATTTATGTCAAGCCAACTGTAGCATTTCTAATCCTTAGCATTAAGTACAAAATTCAGATGTGGAACGAGCGATAAAGATGTTTATCAATGTATTTAATGTTTTATACCTAAAAAGCTTATTTCAAGTTTGTCATGCGATAGTGTCACAACATCTTAATTTTCTAGTCACATTATATAACTTACTGTGATTTCTTTCTTTAAATTACAACTCCATTTCATAAAAATTTGAAATTTAAATGGTTTTTGATCGTCTTTTCATTTTTTCACATGTATGGAGAATGTACATTTTAATTGCATTAATTTCCGATTTTCTTCACGTGTACTTTAAAAAGACATTTAACAAAAAGAGTAGATATAAAAGCAAGAATTTAAAATGTATACAATGACACCATCTGCCATTTCAACTCAAAAGCAAAATTTTGTGAGAGACTGTATAGTGATCACAGTTATATATTTTAATTGATACGAACATGTAGCAGCTCCTTTGAATATATTTTCAGGAGTAAGTCCCTGAGATGAGTTAAAGATCATGATTTATATCAGCTATCACCATGCATCTTTGAACAGTACTTTGTATTATAAATTTACTTAACCAATTTATGTCTTTTGTGTAATTCTCTGTGTCAGAACTAATTTGCTTTTGGGATGGAAAGAAAATTGTCATTAAATAAGTTCATTTCAGGAAAACATTTTAACTTTTTTATGTACTTTCATTATTTTCTTTTTTATAGTTTCTTTCTATTCTTTTTTCAGCAAGCTTCGTCTCCAGATCACAACGGACAAAATTCAAACTCAGGGAGTTGTTTATGGAAGAATTATATACACAGAACACTTTTGCTATGTTTAATATTTTTGATTTTGAAACATTCCATACGATTATGACCTAAGCGGGATAATCACGTTTGATAATATTTCATCTGCTATAGTAGAGTTGGAGTTGCTGTTCTTTAGCTTATTTTGCAATATTTCATTTTTTCGTTATTTTGTTACATTTGTTATCATTATTATTATATCTATATGTACATGTTAATCAAAGCAAAGTTGTTTTATTTGTGATAAAATATTTCTCAAAACACATTATTTGTTTACTTATTCCTGTCTTTATATCTTCATTGAGAACATGAGAGTTTTTATAATAGGATAACTAGACCTCAATCTAAAAACAAATCCACATCTTAACACACATTCTTCTTAATAGACAAGCGTCAAAACAAATGGTTTTATCCATTTTCTCTGAACAAGTTTAAACTGATTCAAAGAAGAATTAGAGGAAACTGAGCAACGAGCAATGAAAAACATGCATACAATATCATGATAAATCATGACTATGATTAAGAGAAACAAAGACAAACTATGGTCCACAAAACATTTCACACTAAATAGTGAAAAATGAGCATTTAACATGGGTAGGCATTATATTTGACCATATTTTACACCTCGCTAAAGCTCATATATCGTCGTCAAATATAGTGCCTACCCATGTTAAAAGGAGAATAGGGCATGACATGAAGGAATTATTTCTTAACTGAAACTAATGAAATTCGAACTCATACGTACGAATGGGATATAAAAACTAGTTTTTTGTTTTAATTTCTAAATCTCTGTTCTTATATCTAAATAAATAGTGAAAGAGCAAATGATAGAGTAAAATAAATAAGAAATAAGATAAATCCAACAAAAGTATATAACTGAAATTTAAGCATTTATATCTTAACCCATATACAAGTGCTTAGAGTAAAACCGTACAAAAAGGATTTGTTGTATTATATAATACTCGGAACATTTCTAAGTTATTTTCTGAAAGGGGGAGAAAAAGTGAAAAATTATTCGAGAAAACACTCCAAACATTTAGGATTATGTACTTTAATTTGGAGGATACGTCAATTTTGGTTATCTTATGAGAGTTAAATGACTATGCAACGCAATGTTTCTTTAGAAATGTCAATTCTATGCACAGTTGTCTGGTATTTTGTTCGAATGCACCAATATTATTCTTGATGACGATTATATATGTAGTACAGGGAAATCAAAAGTGTTTAATTCGCTACAGCTATGCAGGAATCTATATATGAATATGGATAATAAAATAAACGAGATGCGGTATGATTGGCAACGAGAAACGAGATGTGGTATGGTTTGCAACAAGAAACGAGATGTGGTATGGTTGGCCACGTGACAACTATCCACTAGTGACAAAAGAACGAGGATGTCATACTTCTGTTTATCATGCAGGAAAAGTGACATGCATCAATTACAACCAACTATGGGATGGGTATGCCTTCCATTTTCTTATTTGTAAGCCGCTTACACCCTATCCACATCTTTAGGTTGTGTGCTTGGAAAATCTTTGTTTGAAATCTCAATGGGATATATATCACTTCAACAGTAAATTCCTGGAAATAGTCGGCTGTTACTCTGCACTCAAGTTCATCCCTTCTCACTTACAAAACAAAAACTATTTCAAAATCAAACAAACAAAAATTTCTGTTTATTTTTATGATGTTCCTTTACTGTTTAAATATTGCATGCAAGATTATGAATGAACTAAGCAACTAAACAAACGTCTTCATAACAGAAATTAATACAATCTTCAAATTTCTTTTATTTGGAATAACAGAATGCCAAATATTCAGTTCCTTTCGTCTAAGCCACAAATAAAGCTTAGGGCTTCCAATAATATTTTTTTGAAAATATTTAACTTTTCGGCTCTAAAACAACTTCTAAACCTAGCATTAGAACTCTTTATTATGTCTGGCAATCGGTTCCCAATTACAACAAAATACATGTGCTGACTCCTACCTTCTATGGAAATATCTGCACTTCTGAGATATCAGTGTCATTTTTCTAAGCACGTTTCTACTTCCCCATGAACTCACTTATCTTTATTTCCCTAAAAAGTATCTGACATTGATACCAGTTTGCAAGAATTGAGCATTTTTAAGTTATTTGATTTTTCGAAACTTGCAACAAGGAGACCATGGAAGAAGAAAGTTGAGTATCTCTGATAAACCTTGGAAACTTCACCGATTAGTAAGATTTTTTTATTATTGTAGTTACTGATTATCGTCAAATTGAATTACCTTTCTTACTACACCACGAAAGACAGGGTGGCACCGACTGTACAAGATAATTATAATTGCTGTTGCCTATATTTTAAATGATTGGTTGGTTGTTGTTTACTTGAAGTCCAATATTTCATGCATATTTGAGAGAATAAATTATACACTAAATCAGTTGGATGGGTTTTGAAACGATGATCTACCAGGATAAAAGGTTAGAAAAAAAGAAATCACCTGGAAAAAGAGAGTGTTGAGGGGCAGAAAAAACTGCCTTTTAATATAAAGTCTTCTATTCAGCCATCAATTATTTCAAGTTATTTCACGTGCAGAGAGCATGGCACTTTCCATCATGTTGCACCGGTTTTAGTGACCTCATTATGACCGAACGTATCTGCATAACTTAACTCAGTCAAGTTGACGTCTTTTTTTTCTCTCATTTATTGCCTGACGGGACAAATCTAAGTGGCCATATTTCTAATCAAAATCCATGGTCAATCTTTGGGATGACTTATATTTGGAAATAAAACTGTTATTTAGAACTTAAAATATTTCATATTCATGCAAATATACTGGTCATTAGGTAAAAATATCATCAATTCTAGTAAAACATATTGTGATAAACATAAACATAACGTAGAAAAAATATAGAACCTCAACTTATCTGTTTAAAAGGAAGGAACTGGAAACAGCATGTCTATATTTTAACGATTATATGAAAAGATGTATAGTAATCAAAGTATGTTTAGACAAAATGTTTATTATTTTGGAAGATAAATCTAGAGGAAAAGGGATTTATTTTCCTCTAAGCAAATGAGCGTATTATTTATTACTACTTACAAATATAATTAACATGCTTTGTCAATAATATATAATTGGAAAAATATAAACATATAATAAATGTCTATGTACATTCAGTCAAACTGCAATAAAATTATAATTAGATCATAAATATTATCTACAGATAAAGCTTCGTCAGACTTTTATGATAAGATATTATCTGAAACGATTTAGTAAAACGTACTTTTAGGTTAACCATCAACAGAAACACTCAGAGTCGAAAGTTAGTGAAAGTGTCGTTTGGTTGCTGTCACTGTGACATATTACCAAACTCAACTTTAATTCATTAAGCCAAACATAAATATTGGCCGATGCATGTACAAACGAGACGGTCTAGAACGCTAATAAAAGAAACCTATAGACAACTTTGCTTGAGTTGGTTGTAACGCTAGCTTTTGTATAACCAAGCCTTTTATAAGTTTTATGTAATTGTATTTAATGATAGGCAATTGGAAGATACTTTAATTCATATGATGATCATTTTTTTGAAGGAAAATGTCCATTTCTATACTCAAAATTTTGTCGTAAAAAAGTTTTACTATGACTGTCGATGGGTAAAGAATAGAACGGATTGATCACTTTTAAAGTTGTGAATTGCAGCTGTTCAAAATATTAAGTTGTGTCCAGCATGTGCTCGTTATTATCAAGACCGAAATATACATGACAAAAAGAAAACTACAGTTTGTTTTTTGCAATTTAGCAATGTCTATGTCTAAAAAGTAAAAAATTCAAAAATACCAAACTCCAAGGAAAATTCAAAACGGAAAATCCCTTAACAAATGGCAAAATCAAAAGCTCAAACACATCAAACAAATGAAAAACAACTGTCATATTCCTGACTTGGTACAGGCATTAATATTTTCGTTATGTAGAAAATGGTGGATTAAACCTGGTTTTATAAATAGCTAAACCTCTCACTTGTATGACAGTCATATAACATTCGATTATATTGACAACAATGTGTGAGCAAAACAAACAGACATAATAGGTAAAAATGTCTATATTGGGGTACAGCAGTCAGCATTGTGTTATAATCTCAATCACTATAAAAACAAATAACTATTTAAACAAAGAAAAACAAAATGGCATACAGACAGTGTCAGACACTCTACAGACAAAGCACACAAGCAAAAACGAAAGACAAGAATACAAAAATGACCATAGCACAATAACATAATGGCGGGATGTATAAATACCCAGCCACGCCAATAGTATATAGCATTCGATTATATTGATAACAATGTATGAGCAAAACAAACAGACATAATAGGTAATAATGTCAAAAATTGGGGTACAGCAGTCAGCATTGTGTTATAATCTCAATCACTATAAAAAACAAATAACTATTTAAACAAAGAAAAACATAATGGCATACATACAGTGTCAGACACTCTACAGACAAAGCACACAAGCAAAAACGAAAGACAAGAATACAAAAATGACCATAGCACAATAACATAATGGCGGGATGTATAAATACCCAGCCACGCCAATAGTATATACCAAAAATGGACCATTTAGTAAATGTTGAAATATAAAAAGACAATAAAAAAGAACACTACAACACGTAATTTAGATGATCAACAACTGTCAGTACCTAGAATCTATACTTCAAGACCACCACGTATTATTTGTGATACCAGTATATGCTATAACCGTTAGTAAAAACTATTGTTGCTCAATATCTTTAAAAATTATGATATGTTTATGAATGTTTATATTACACACTTATTGGACGGTTATGAGGGTTATAGTAATTTTTTGTCCCTAGGATACCAACTATTGCGCGAGGCGAAGTCGAAGCTATTACCCTCACAACCACACATTAAGTGTTTTGTCATACCGAACAAGACAATTTAAAAAAAAATATGGATACACCATCTTGCAAAACGAATGCACATTATGTATGAGACGCTATATTTTGTCCATGCGTAATTTATAAATATAATATAAATTGTAATCAAAATAAGAAATTCTGGTGCTAAATTTCCATAGGTTGTTCTCTGTTTGACGTATTCTCCATTTCCATTCTCAATTTTATTTGATTACCGGTAACCAAAAATACATTACAGCACACCAAAGTATTCACAAATTGATGAGAAAGACGACGACAGACCCATACAGTACATCATTTGTTCGGTTGTAGATTTTTTTAGTTGTCTTTTTTTTTCATGTAGATTG